GATCCGATAATTAGGTACGAGCATAAATGACCGTTTTGCCCCTCTAATTATTTTCACTAACTTAAGTTTCATTTTCTTCAACGATTCTGTGAACCAATCACAGATGTCGAAGTTTAGCCGTCGCTAAACACTGAGCTCAGATTTTAACCGTTCAATAGAAAATACTTAAGTAGTCACTCTACCCATATTTTAGGGTGACGATTCCCGACATGAATTCATATTCTCTACTCCGCTCATTTTCAAGTTCCCAACTCATCGAGATATTTGATCAATCAAATTGATCTCACCCATTGATGAATCAAAGAACAATTAAAATCACGAAAAGATATACATAGTCCTGTCAAGGGATTTAGATGAAATACACAGCGGTCTAGTTGAATTTAATTCTCCGCACAGTCATGCTATAGAATTAAATTCGACACGCGGTCCGTTCAATACACTCCAAGTGTACTAGTGTCACCTTTAACTATTTCTGTGATAAGGACAAATCACAAACCCAAATAATGACTTGGTCAACACTACAACCTTCCAGTACAAGGTGCCAATCCTTATACATTGGTTGTGAACAAATTATTTATGACCAAAATATAAGTTGTGTCACACTGTACTTCTTAGCGCAAGTACCCAACTTGTATTATCTCAAGTGATCATAGCCACTTTAATTTGCATACTCAATAATAAATAATGCAACAAATAAATAAAACCACAATTTATTTATAATAAATGATTATTTTATCATAATAAAATATACTATATGGGCACACAACCCAACAATAAGTACACCACAGCTTGATATCTCTATGCACGTGTTTTCATTGGGTTTGCTAAGGAAAAAAAGGAAATGTTGGGCCACAAAAAGTACACCACAGCTTGATATCTCTATGCACGTGTTTTCATTGGGTTTGCTAAGGAAAAAAAGGAAATGTTGGGCCACAAATGGGTGTCTTTGTGTCTTTTTCTTGTTTTAATTCAATCCCCATAAAGTATATGCCACAGTTTTCAACATGGAATTCATGATTATTTGACCAAATTGATCGGACTTAATCCTCAATTTTATATTCAAGACTTTTACCAGTGTACTTTTCAGGTTCTTGAATGACATAGACTACCACGGTGGATTCGAATACGGTGAAATTGAGGCGGTGTTCTCGGCAATGGAGGCCAATTACGAGGCGTGGGTCAACGGCTTTGCACCGCTGGCGGTGGGGGCGGATGTTCCGGTGGCAGTTCAAGAATTTAGCCGTACTTTGTTCAATACGAGACCAGACATATCGTTATTCGTATCTCGCACCGCATTTAACAGTGATCTAAGAGGTGTTCTAGGCCTTGTAAAAGTGCCATGTTCGATAATTCAAACAATCGAGGATGTCTCCGTCCCAATGTCAGTGGCGATGTACCTGAAGAACCACCTCGGGGGGCGGAGCACGGTGCACATGTTGAACGTGGAGGGGCATTTGCCACACCTGAGTGCACCCAATTTGTTTGCCCAAGAACTCCGGCGAGCTCTATCCCGGTGAGGTGAAGTTGGTCCATAAGGGAATGAATATGTTGTGGACATGCTGATTATCTAGCATTTGGTTTTTTGAGATTATCTTATTCTCTCAGAAAAGGAATAAGAATCTTCACGTGACTTTCACGTGATGACGTGTTGCCTTTCTCCTTTTTTTGTTATTTATTTCTCTACCTTTCTCTCCTCCTTAAGAGCATAATTTGGCAAAGTAGAAATGCAAAGAAATGGAATTTGTATTCTTTTTCTTTGTTTGTGTTCTATATACATCGTTTTATCTTGTGTGGGAAGAGATTAAAGTTGTGCTAACTTTAATATTGTTTATCAAGTTGACATGCTCAATTAAAGCATGGTTACTTGAGTTAGTGCCTTAATATCGTGTGAATATGTGGAAACTGATTTAATAATATAGAGATTAGGTGTACATTTTGAATTTTTCAATGACATCTAGCTTAGAGAAATAGATGAAATCATGTAAATCGATAGGTAGATGTCAAAATGATATAGAAGACACATTGTCCGACAGATAATACCTGACACTTAGATTAGCTAATTCATAACATTTTACTAAATTAAATTTGATCGGCAAGGTCAATAAGAACCCCTTGAGTAACTACTCTCCGACCAAACTAAAGCTCCATCATACCTTGGCAGACGACCATGCCCGAGTAATCAGACTTACTACAATCGATTGAACCCACCATATTCTATAATGTCTCCGACATTAAGAAGAATCAATTTTTTAGTGGTTCCATCCAAACATGACTCATGCCAACAATTAAGCCCCATTTGATTCCATTTAATTTACTTTACTTTAATTTATTTTTCATATTCATTTTTAATCACATATTCACACAATAAAATATTCTACATGTAAACTTAAAATTTTTCTATACTTTTTGGCTACACATTTTCCAAAAAATACTATTCAAATCATTGTTTGAATTGTTTGTTTGGATGGATTCTGCTTTGTACCCTAAGGCAATATACGTCATAGTTTCATGTAGCTGAGGTCAAATTTCAAGATCAGGATTAGCATTGTGAGGTTAGCAATTGATTTTTCAAGCACTGAGTTATAGCAATCTGTTTGAGGATCGACCCTTCTAAAAATTAGTATGTGCCGCTTGTTGCGCTAGCTGTGAATACCGTCTTGAAATGGCTATATATGCTTTGAATCAAGAATGACAACATATCTTGAAAATTGCTAAGCATCGAAGTTTTAATCACTTAATCAGTTTCTAAACCTGTAAAAGAGATCATGTAGGCTGTGTCCAAGTGCATTCTCGAAGGACATAACACCTAAGTGTATTTGTTCTGTCAGGTCTAAAGTGTATTGCATATTTCGTGTCCAAAATAAAGTATCTTAGGAAGGAGTCAAAATCAGCTCAAGAAGATCAAGTCGACTAAACAATGCTCGAAGTCCACCAGAGATGACCTTAAGTGGATGTGTTATTCAGCCAAACCCTAGTTGCGATTTTTAGCCTATTTTACAATCCACAAACAACATCAAATATTTCATATTATAAATACCAAAGCCGTAGTCAGTCCCATATGTTAGTTGAGCCTCTTTTCATTAAAAAGAATTTCATGTAGAAGATAAAACAACAATTTAATAATTTTCCAGACTCAACCATAAGATCAAAATACAAAAAGTCCAAAAGATCAAATACCAACAAAATCCTTTATCAAATAGCTTTCAGAGCTATGAAAATAGGAGAGCTAACTAGAGTTTCCAGTTGGAGAAGAACGAGATCATTCTTGATGATTTACACAGAGTAAAAAGAAGTCAAAAGGTTTTGGAAAGTGCAAAAGGAACAACTGAAGAGCTTTTTGGTGATTTACAAGTTGAGTGGTAGGAGTCTATATTAGGGTTTAGTTGTGTCTAGACCAACTGTAAATTAAAAATTTTCTAGTTAATCCATTTTGCTAGGTTTGCCCATATTTTTTTATCCCTATGAAAAGTTCTTCAATGGATTTTCCTTTGTTAACAAGTATTGGTGCTCTCTACTTTTATTGCTTTGATCTGCATGCTTGATTGATTAATTAAGGTTCAATTTGATTAAACATGTTCATCTAGAAATAATAATTAGTGACTAATCGCTTATTATCGATTGTTAATCTTAACTGTACAATTAATATACACCTATTCACCCCAAGTGTTAGTTGGATCGAAACCTCATTATTTCATGTTCAATGAAATCCCACAAGCATAGTGGTTCGTTCACAAGTAATAGTAATGAAAAGAAAAAGAGTTACATTCCACGAAGATCTAGAGTTAAGCTTAATTTCGATTAATCCAAACTCATTTAGCACAAGCAATGATTGAACTCAAGTAGCAATGATTCTATCTAAGTTATAACCATGTCTTTTTAACTAGGTACGACTGTGAATTTGGAGAAAAAATCAAGAAAGTTGTGTTAGGATGACAATTCCACCCTTAGTGTCTATTGTAATTCTCAAAGTCCCGCTTTTAATCTAATTTATACTTAAATTAACAATATTCAATAATCCTAAGTTCTTTAACAGTCTCTCTAGAGTAAAGTTAAACATATTATCACATACAATCTGAAATATTCCAATCTCGGATTGAATATATAAAAACATATCCAATAACATGATCATCCAATTGGATTGCACAAAGCATACAAGATTATCCTAATGTCTATAGGACTTTATGTTGGGTGTCAATAATGAGCTAAATCTACTTTGAACCCCCAAGAGTAAAATGAGTTGTAAATACGTTTAGAAGTTAGTAATTCATTAAAATGGCAACTAAAACATTGACGCCAATGAATCCAACAAGAATTGAGAACTAAAATAAGAATCCTGGAATTACAACTTCAACTAATGGTTTACATCATCACCTTATGCACAAGAGTACTATCCTATCATGTTCTAGTTATAAGAACATATACTAACTAGGGAATTCGTCACTCGAAATATTTGATAACAGGAAGAGATTTGAAGATTAATTTTGTCCCATTGAATTGGATTTAGGCTGAAATTAAATTTGAATTGGGTTTTATTACCACGAGACATTTAGACAAGCGCCAAATATAAACAAGGGAAAACTACTGTTTCGGTGCTAAACTTTTTACTTCACTGTATCTTATATTCAAATATTTCATTTGTGCCACTTACATTCCCAAAACCTTTAATTTCATTTCAACATAAGGATTCTTTCCGTTTGATCAAAAAATTGACTTTGATCATATTTTGAATAATTTTAGAAGTGTAAAATTGTAAATTTTTATATTTTCAAATAATACAATTAAGATAATTAAATAAAAAAAGGAATATCTATACCCCAACACTTCATCGCTTTTTTCCTCTAACCCCGGTCCTATCACATCCCACCTTATCCCTTACAAGATTGCAGTGGAATTAAGTTAAACAAAATTGCAAAGAAACGAAGCCAACCAGAATCTAAGCAAAGAACTACCCCACCATTTCTCAGTTATACAAGTTTAATTTTCCATGGAAGAAGAATTTTAAGAATCCGAAATCATTTTTCAAGAAAATATCAAATATAAAGCTGAACAAAAATACAGTGTTTCAGTTCATTTGAATTCCTAAGAATCGAGAAATATCAAGAGCACAAGGAACAAGTTGAATAACAAGAAGAATTTGTTGTAAACAATGGGGTTAAAGAAGATTGCAAAATACAGCAACAAGATAAATTGAAACTAAAAAACTTGACAAGAACGAATTTGAAGGCTTGAACACGATATCGTTGTCCTGAAACGATATTTGCCCCCTCTCTAAATGTAATGAGATGTTTAAGGGTATTCCGACAAACGATTCAAAGAATTATAACAAGCCTTGATACAGAAAAAATCAGAGTACAAAGAATTTTCTACCAAAACTTGAAGAGCACAATAAAGAAGATATGAATATAAATGTAATCCGGAATTTGATTGTTTGTGGAATAATGTACAGATTATAAGATGTTTTTCTAACATCTTTCACTTGAACATGGCTCCTCTATATATAGGCCTCATCCAAATACTTGAAATGGTGCCAAAAGTTGAGTGAAAAGCTGTCAAATTCAAATCCATAATGTTAAAAAATGGCCATTTCCACGCATTTTATGTAACGTGATTTAACCATAAGTGTACGGTGTCAAATTTTGTAGTATATTGATGAAATAAAGTGTCGAATCTACAGGGATTGTTATTTGAATCCTACTAAGTACTATAATGATTTCGGCTTTTCACTCTATTTAGACAATCAAATTTTGAATGGATGATTTTATACTAAACTAAAATATATGAATTAAAAAGCGCAAGTAAGGTAAAGCAATTTCTAAAAACTCGATCAGATTACGAATGCCTAGGGAATGATTTCACCGTATTCTCGACAACATTTTTCAACCTCTATAGCTAATTCCATCAACTATTTTCCGAATTTATAGGCAAGAACTTTAAAATAATTCTATTCCCTCTCTCGAGCGCCAAATAGAATTTATTTCTATATTTAAATCTCAATATCTCTATTCTGAATTAAACATATAGAAATTATCAAGTATCTTGTTCCTTAAATGGAATTACCCTTAAAGATTCGCACTTTCTCTCGAAATCTACGAATTTTAGGTTATGTTATTCTTATATCACGCCTAAATTTCCCTCTCTCGAGTGCCAAATTTAAAGAATTGAATCATTCAATTATTTATCAGGCAATTGCAAGCATTAAGCAAGAACAACATAAATAAATTTCAGAAAAATCAAAGGAAATATCTATTGGAATTTAAACATGTCTCAAACAGGTTACGTCAAGCCCTAGATCTCAAATTTTAGTTCATAAATGAATTGATTGACATGATAAAATACACAATAAAGAACATGGAGAAGAAGTAGGGAATAAGAGAAAAAACTAGTTGTGTTGCGTGAATTCTTCCTTCAATTATCGTCAATCTTCTTGCAATTGCTTTTGTTGATCTTTACCTCTTAAGATTTTCTCTCCTTGCAATACTCTTTTTTTTGCTGTCCATAGGAAGAAAAGCCATTCTATTTGTCCCCTAGGTTAAGTAGTATGATGAATTTTATTTCCATAAAAGTTTGTGTGAAAAAAGCAATTTGCCAGATTTTTCAGGAAAATGCCCACGCGTCGCGATATACTTCCTTGCGCGCATGCCACATATCATTTATGCTCTCTGCATGTGAAAATCAGACCCTACACATGCGAGAGTATTCGCCAACGCGTGTGCATGCCACTATGAAAATTTTCTATGTGTTGCACTTTGGTCCCTAGAGTTCACTCTTCGTTCCTTTTGGTTCATATTTAACATCTTCTTGATCATTCATCCTCCAATATCATTTAATTGCCTCTATCTCTTATTAAATGATCAACATTTGGTCTGAATTTACTCTTGA